AGTTGAATGTCGACTGACGTTTTTCATACAAATTGTTAGGCTATAATTAATTTTACACCGAATTGTCTACGGATTTTCCGTTTGCCCAATTATGACAAGGAGCAGATGGCGGCTGTGATCGGTCTACAAGGAATGCTTACTTCTCCATGGCACCTGATCCCAGCTCTAATGTTTGAGAGGTCCGTGTTTGCTCTTCGTCAAATTTGTATCGTTTCAATGGACTTTTCAGCTTGATTACATTCGTTATCTTCATATTCATAATTATTTGTTTGTTTGTTTGTATGTTCTTTAACGTCCCTCTCGAGAATTTTTCACTCATATTGAGACGCCACCACTTGCCGGTGGAGAGCTGCAAATTTTGACCTATACTCGGCACTTACGGCCATTGAGCAGTGAGGGATCTTTTTCGTGCCAGCATCTACTGCGACACGGGACCTCGGTTTATACGGTCTCATCCGAAGGACCGGTCTCCAAGTCCTACAGTGGGATTCGAACCCGCGACGTAAGGATTAACTCCTTACTCCGCGACTCTAGAGCAGACGCTCTAACCACTGCGCCACGCGGGCGACTATTCATAATTAAGTTGTCACATGGCTTTCAACAATCTCGTCTAACGTCATCACTTAGTATATTTTATGGTCAATATAATGATTTTATAACAAATACAACCTATTTCTTGGTAGCACTGTGACCGAATACTAATTGTTAGGCCATTTTATTAACACTGATTTTCACTACGGATCAATATAGAGGGTTCATGGTTGGTGTGTCCTTTTGACAGGGATGCTTACACTCCAAGATACCTGATCCCCATCTGATGTTTTCAGGGATGCGTGTTTTTGTCTCGTTCACGATTCATATTGTCTAGAGGAATAAAGATCGATTTCTGTTCGTTATCTTTGCCTTTTTTCATTTACGAGGGGTTGTTAAAAAGTTTGTGGACTGATGCGATAAAATTTATATTATGTAGTCTGTGCTTACAAAATTTGTAAGGAATATAAAACAACAAAATTTTAAAAAATGTTGAGAAATTTAGTTTGATACGTTGATAATTTGCCAAATTATTCTAAAATAAATAAAACATTATATGATCACCCAGCTCTGTTCCCGTTTAGTTTCATGGCGTTCGACAACGTCATTGTTTCTCAATGTCCGCTCTCTCTACCTCATACACTAATCTTGATGATCTATAATACCTGGACTTAAGTAAGAACTTAAGCCTGTCTTATTTATATGACCCTTCAATGTCATGAACAGCTGCTTTCAATGCATATAATATTGTCAATGGATCTATACATAGGAAAACTCGTCACTTGCTTATTCCGATTTCTATAGCACATGATCAACGTCACTATTCGACGTGACTGACTTTTGACACCCTGACTAAAAATCGACATTAACTGTGCATCTTTCATCTCCCTAAATCTTTTTGGTCATTTAAAAACAAGTACTCTGGATGTATTTTATTTTTCTGTAGCCCATTTAAACATTTCTTAGGTCTATACCAGTTTTTTTTCCAGGAGCCAAACTTTATTAAATGTTTGAAAAGGAAACCCCTCCCTCTAATTGACGTCATTTTCAAGCCCTTAATTGTTTCGACACTCCATATAAAATTTACGATAAAATTTCACAGAACTTACGGAATGGGGTAAAAATTGCATTTTACGGAACAAATGTAAGGTACCACATGGCTGAATTAACGGGATTTTTTGATGACAAATGATCATATCAAAGGAATTTTTCTCAGTTACACTCTGGTAGAAAAAACGTCATATTTGAGGTTGCGCCGCCTGGACATACCATTGCTTACAATAACATTAACCATTAATAAAAAAAATAAAACTTATGATTTATGGTTTATTCTATAGATAGAAAAGATTATGCTAACTAAATGTGTTAAAATTCATTGATATACCTAAAGCGGTTTTAATTTTATGACGCTAGTCTACGAACATTTTGATAAGCTACTATTTATCACATTTTGCTGAGTTGTAAGTTGATAATAAAGCTTTCCTGTGTAAGATTTTTTTTATATATTGGGGAATGTTCACTATATATAGAGAACCATTACCGGGAGAATATTTTATTTGAAGTTAACATTTCGGTAGTCTGCTTTGTGGAAGGTTAGTTTTACGACACTGGTATTTACTGTGGAGATCATATGATCCTTCCTGAATAGTACGAAACAAGATGACATTTGGCCTTTTAGTCCGTGTTTGCTCTGCTCGTATTTGTTTTGTCTCACTGGATATTATTTACATTTGCAAATATTTTTCTTAGATGAACCTATTGAAGAGAAAATATGTTCAATTCTGTATCAACTTATTAGGGGGTCAGAGGTCATGGCGTGACCGAATCACACAGCGAGACGATACTTCTGTCACAGTGACACTGGTTTCGGAACTTCGAAGCCGTTAAAGCGATGAAAAAGATAAAATTATTGGTGCATATATTTTATTTTTCATTCAACAAATGATCATTAGATCTTCTTCGGTGTGAAGAATGTTTCCAATTAGCCTAAAATCACGCTTACCTTTTTAACCCGAAATTCCTTTGAAGGTATGTAAACTGAAGACGATAGCACCGCATTTGACTTCATATAAAGAACTCGTACAATAATAGTAAGATTATTTTTAGTAGCGATCATTGTTTTTTCATTATGAACAGACGTTTCCTGAACTGGACTGCTGAACATCACTGTATTCAAATGTTGGAGCGAGGCGAACTCTCAAGACCAAACAGCTTCTAGGTCATTGCGCGTCACAACATAGCTATACGGCGGGCCGTTCGTGTAATAAATGCAGTTCTATTCAGAATATTCGTCTCAAATGTAAATAAAAGTAATAAAAAACAATGTTAAAAAGTTCACTGGGAAATGAACTTGGTTGGTACGTGATCAAATCTTCTGAGAAGCCCTTCGGGCTTCACAGGTTTTGATCACGTGACCAACCTAGTTCATTTCTCAGAGAACTTTTTAACATTGTTGTTTATTTCTTAATTAAGCTTGATCACTAACATTTTTCTTCTTTGAAATCTTTCCCCGAAGAGAGTTACTTGAGAACAATAAGATTTTAAAAACTAAAGATATAACCCCTCATTGACATACAATCAAAACAAAGTTAAAATTAGGAAACTTAAATTTAGAACCGTTAAAAAGTGTAAACTGCGTAGAAAATTCGTGCCTCATGATTCAGTGGTAATGGAAATGTACTTTAAGTGGGAGAATACTGATAACTTGAAAGAAATAAGCAAATTTGTTACATTGTATTTTTAAGAATTTCATCATTTAAAAATCTGTCCTAATTTTGAATCAGGGGTAATGAGCCATTGCATTACTCTAAGATATATTTTCAAAAAAGACCCTTAACCTTCCTTAAATCGTTCCTTGGTGGCTCCTAATATTCTAAGTATTTGTATTTTACAAGACTTTTTTAACCGGTAGCTTGGGTGATTTCTTCGATTCGTGATCGGGAGGTTCCGGGTTCAATTCTCTTTCTTGGTACCATCTTATACCTTAGACGCATAATATAGCTATAGTAACTCCTCCAAGCGCCCGATACTATAGGTTATGAGTCATTAGAATGAGACCTTAGAAACCGAGTGTTACGGTAGGCGTTGACACGATAAGGATACTCACTTCCACGGCCGTATGCGCAATGAATAGGTAAAAATCTTAGGATGATTCACAATCAGTCAATCTTTCATCCATTTCAATCAGATGGACGATATTAATATTTTACGTTTTATATCGTTTATATCATATTAGAAATAATATCAGTGACTCGATACGCAAAGATTGGAGACAAATTAAGCCTCGTTGAAATCATAAATCCAAAACAAAACTTAGAATGAATTCAGTTTTGCCTTTTAAATTTATGTAACAAATTTGGTGGAAATGTATTTTATACCATTTTAGTGACTTAATGTTGTGATATTATACAATTATGGACTTCATTGTAGGTCGATATTTGGTTATAGGGACCCATGTCAAGTGAAATTGACCGAAGACACAGAAAGTGATAGCGACCGAACTTGCGAGGTCGCTACCATTTTCTGAGTCTGCGAACCATATACTTACCGTTCAATAAAGTCCATAATTTTTATATTATATAATTACTCAAAATGAATAATCTGACACAGTCCTGACTGAACAGATTATCTGTTATTACGTCACAGTGGTAAAAACATGCTTCTTGAATTATGACGTCACGTTCTATATAACTTTGGTGGAGCCGAACGGTGAGTCTTGCGATATCATATTCCGCAGAAGCTCTTTCGCGTCAATATCATAAAAGGACGAATATCACGTGACGTCCTTTCAGCCAATGAAAATTAGGAAAATAATAATCTTCTATAATATTCTTGAATAGGGACAGACGAATGTTCATCGATACTTGGAATTTTTATGTATTTTTGTTTTTCGGTAGATCGAAGATTTTGAAACAACCTTTTAAAAATATAATCAAAAACATTTTCTTTACCCTTGCATTTACGCTATAAATAAAAATCACATTACAAGGCTGATAAGAAGAAGCAGTAACTTCCGGCGTTTTTACATGCAGTTGTGTTTATTCATACCTTTGATAAATCTTTCGATTTTAGAAAAAAGTTATATTAAATGAATATTTCATTTTGACTCTCTGTATATTTTTAAAGATTAGATTTGTCAAAAGCAGTTCTAACTAGAAATAAACGGTGAAGCTTTACACTTTCAATAAAGCTTTGCGATTTTTAATTGTCTCAATCTCAACAAAACGTGTGAGATAAATATATACATGATTCCAATTTAATCAATGAAGCAACTTGCAATATATTTTGACAGCGTTTTGCCCCCCCCCCATCTCTCTCTCCATCTCTTTACCTAGGGGGCGGTATTTAAATGAATATGAATAATAACATGTTAATATTTTTTTCATTCATACGAAATAGAAATTAAAGAATTTTGATTTATAAAAAAAAAGATTAATACTGAGAAAAAAGAGAGAAACAAAAGAGCTTACCTCTCATTACAGTTAAAACACGGTTAGGTACTTTAGCCATGCAGAAAATGAAACATGTGGATAAAAGACACATTAATGTAAAAAAGCACTTTGTATGCATGATTTAACCAAGTCAAAAGTGTGTGTATAACTTACGGTTTAAAGCTATCCTTAATGATATTTATATATTTTCAGGAAAGGAAGGAAGGCGTTGCTTTTTTCATCGAATGAAAAGCACGAGTAGGGTGGGTTAGACATCAAAGAATACAGCCGAGGTAGCCCAAGGGAATTTTAATTGAAATTGCGAGGTTGTTAAGGATTCATTACTTTTCAATGAAAAACTTATGTGTCTTAAACTACAGGAACATAATATTTATTTAAGGAATGAATTTAAAGAAGATGGGCGTGTTTGGCGTGTGATCTGCAGGAATAAGGTGTACGAAACATTTATAGTTTAAATGTCTACGATTTGGTCGGCTGACCACAGCTGGACACTCATGTACATGTACTTTACAAAGTTACACGTATGGGAAAATTATGGGAAAGTTACATTTAGTTTGAAATACTTTGTCAAATTAAAAATTTCAGTCCGCTTATCTTAATAATTACTACATGTTAAACTTAGTTACGCTTAGTTACACCTATAGGGCATAGTTAAATGCAATTACAAGTACATGGGTATATTAAAGTATCAGAAGGTTGGAAGAATTGCTTTCGCTTTCGGTGCAACAGAAGCAGAATTTATCTATTTGAAAATAAATCAGTACATAAAATTAAACTGACAAAAGAATTGATTGTTTGTACTAAAAAAAAATAACAACGCTCCATGCGAGGATCGAACCGAAAATATATCTCTTTCATTGCACTGGACGGGTACCGCATACTGGGTGCAAAACACAGTTTTATGTATGACGTTATCATGACGTTACTAAATGAGGGACATGCTAAAGTGACCCCCATAAAGAAATAATATGAAGACTTGCTACATAGACATCTATATATCAGTAGAAAGATAAAATTGTGAATTTTATAAATATATAAATATATTGCATTTATCACTTACTAATAAGGTGTATTTGACACATGAAACATGAGGGAAATAGGGAAGTTTATGCGTCTAATTGTAGTACACCTATGTATTTTTTTGCTCCCTTGATCACAAACAGCGCAGAAATCAGAAAATATAAGTGCTGTGCATTTAACAGAGCAAGTCCTTAGGTTTCTTTTTGTTGTACTTTTAGGGTACATTTTCCAGCTTTTTAAAGAGCTACTTTACCTGCTACTCAAATCATGCAATTCTGCACATGTGAAAAATGGGTGATTTTAGAGTTATCTCCCACTATTAAAAAGTCACACAAAAAATAATTCTCAAAAAATATTTGTATACTTTTTTCATTTAATCTTAAGATAAGACTCTACTTTATGCAAATAAAAATAAAAAAGCTGCAATTTTCATGTACACTGCATAAAAATAGCAGGGAAATCCCTACCCATCATGCTTTTCTCTGAGGAAAACCCCCTGGATTTTATACGAAACTGTGTTTAGCTACCACTACTGAGCTATCACCGCTACATATACAAAATGGTTTTTAAAGCGACAATGAAGCACCGCATTTACACATTGGAATTTTTTTGGAAAAAGTTCATTTTTTATCATCTCTGGGTCTCCTCTCCATTTTTTAAAAATGTTTGTTAGTTTCTTTGAATAAAAATGCATACAAATAACGTTTCAAAACCATGGAGAGATGACCCAGAGATAGCAAATTTTTAGAAAAACGTTTTTAAAAATGTAACATTTTGTACGAAATGACTCATCTAGCCAATTTTCAAGTTCTTTTTTAGCAAATCAAAATACAATATCGGGAAAATATTTCCCTTTCCTATTTCACAGGAACCCGATACATCAAAAGAATGCTAAAATTTCATGTGACAGATCAATAAAATTTTCACTTTTCAATTGCGCCCAGATTCCTGCCGAATGCCAATCAAAAGCGCCCTCGTTCTTTTGAGAAATCATGGGGACATGATATTTACATTATTTATTTGATGACTAGCAACAAATTTATGTAACTCAACGATTATTTTAAAACAAAAGTTTGCATCACTGTAGATTCCTAAATATACGGGAGGAATTATTTATCGCGTAATTTCGCGATAAACGCCACGTGCGCAATAAAATCACTCGCTTTTATTTTTATGGTGCTAAAATCCATGTAAAATCTCTTGATCAACCGTCTACTCGGTGATCATTGTTCTCACGATTTGACGTTAAAGAGCCATTTCGCGAAAATAATTACTCGCAAAAAATAAGGAATCTACAGTATAGTTTTGACATCAAGTTACGGTATTATGACGTCACAATGGAGATAATTTTGCTCATCCATGTTAGTCCATGAAAAAATGAACTGTTTTTTGATTTGCAAAGAATCTTTAGGAAAAAAATATTTGGAAGTTTAAATATATTTATTAAATTCCTACCCACATACATGTACTTAGTCTCTAAAACGAAAAAAACGCATTTTTTTTAAATAGAAGAGAACAATCTTTAAAATATAGCCCCTAAAACACTCCCAAATCCTCAACCTATTGTCAGTATGTCAGCTCTGTCTGGACAATGGAATTTGATATTGATCGTTTGCCAAAGATTCACCTGGTAGATTTATATAAAATAAACTGATTTCTACCATATATCACAAATAAATTCGAAAACTGCTTATTTTATATCCATGTAAATTCTGTTCTTAAACGTTTACATAAATCAGATATCAAATGGCATTGTTGTCTCAAGTGTTTTGACGTATTATGTCCAATGTTTGCATCAAACTGAGGAAAACAAATTAGTCGATTAATTTGTATTCCCTGAACAAAAAAGAAACTGAAGTAATATTAATGACAATACTTATTTCAGTTTCTTGTTACGTTATGGGAATACAAATTTAATTAATTGTCCTCAAATAAGATGAAACACAGGAGAATTGACCAGCAGCTATTGATCCATATACTCTTACATACCTTTGTATACTAGTAATCTTAAAACATCTTGCTGTGTTATCAATGTACAGTAGATCCACACTTAGGGCATTGTTACGTCATACCCATTATGACGTCACAATTACAAAGAGGAGTTGGTGTATGTGATTTTAGAAAGTCCGGGTCTATCCGAGTTTTTAAAGTTAATGATTAGAAAGTCCAGGTCTATCCACATTTATATACTTTGACACGTGATCTTTGCAAATTAGAGTATTGTTCATTTTCTCATGAACTACAATGTATGAGCATGAATATCTCCATTGCTACGTCATACTACCATACTTAGCGTTAAAACTATAGTGCAAACTATTTTGCTTTAAAAATGACAGTTGAATTGTGGCACCTAATCAGAAAAATAATGTAGATATAAGAAATGAATTTACTTTTTTGAAAATTCATGAGGTACATGAACTACGACGCTACACGCCGGCATATTTCATGAAGCGCTACGCGGCCTCGGTCAGGTCAGGTCAGCGAGTTGGCCAGGTTAGCGCTTCATGAAATATGCCGGCGTGAAGCGTCGTAATTCATGTCCTCATGAAACTTCAAAAATTAAATTCATTTCTTAAATATATACGTTTGCAATTGTTTTCTTTTATATAACACTATTAAAAGCAATGCGTATCTATATCCGCATAAACACAGGTTCCTTACGTCATAAATGTTTCGACGTAATTTCTCAGTGACGTCATAAAGGGTCGACGCGCAATCAATGGATCAAACACGTGTCGTTGAGTTTGAAAAATAAAACATTTCACGCGTTAAAGATTATAATCAGGCAAATATAAAATATAAATAAGTCACAAATGTAAATGTAAGTAATAAGGTATCATTTTAAAACATCTATCGGGCTATAAATACGGGTTGGTACGAGATCAAATTTGAATTTGATCTCGTGACCAACCCGTATTTATAGCCCGATAGATGTTTAAAAATGATACCTTATCTCTTAAACATATTGTAAGTAATACATACAAATGATTTATTCCCATTCAAGGGCACCGAAAGGCATACAACAATGAAACATGTAAAATAATTATGTATAGTACAGAGATTTGTATATAAAGTACAGACAACAACAGAAGGTACCAAGGGACGATGCTACAGGAACATATGGAAATCTGTTACATTACTTTGGATTTTTTAAAAATCTTTTACTCATATAAAATAAACAATTTTACTTAAATATGTTGTACATTAAACTGTATAACTTTCATATCATAAATTACCCCCCCCCTCCCAAGCATATATCTTATGATATATTATAATTAACGACCAAATATCTACTGTCTTTTAAATCCAAGAACATAAAAAAGAGTAGTAACAGTAATATTAAGTTCAGACTGCGTTGTTCCGAGTTACTTTAATTTCTTCCTGTTTTCCAAAGAGTTTTGATAAGCCATTAAGTTTTCCTTAGACATTTTGAATCTAGAACAAAAACAGGGTGCGGTAAAATAATTAAAGAAAACAAAGAAAAAGATTTTAATAAGGAGTAAAATGAAACTCACCAAGGTCAAAGTTCCCTCATTATTCAGTTCAGGATATAAAATAGACATATCAATGACATTAGGAGAATGCTATTTTCGTGTGGAATGTTACATAATGACCTTCTTTATAGAGCATTCTCTGAAGAACAGTCTTCATGATTCGTTCATATCAGAGAGAACAATAAAAATAGACAAGGGCTTGTAGTCTGTAGTCTAAAGAATAAGGATTTTAAAAAGACTTTTAGCGAAGTAGTTCAACATTAAAATTTCCGAATAAAGATCCAAGTAGACATCAAAATCAAATTAACGTCTTCTGTGAGAGAAGTTCCGTTCAATGATCAACGGATTTCCTGTTGCATGTTGAGGTGTAAAGTTGTTAATTTAAAACCTAATTAATGACACCTACACGCTTCCTAATATTAATCCGATTTTGTTTTTACGGAACAATTTAGCCAGACAAAGTCAATGAATATGAAAACATTAATATCACCGAAAGATATAATTTGTATCTTTCAATAAATTGATAAATAGTTTCTGTGAAATAAGATTTTTACCTACAAGCGTTATCTTGAAGACATATTTTGAGGTTTA